CTATAAAATTTCGGACCACATATAGAGCGGTTCATTCGATATGTTTTGAGGCCCTCTATCACTTGACTTCCGTTGATCCACTACTAACTTTACACCATGTATATACAGGGTGGCTAAACGAGTGACGTCATAAAAAAAATAAGTTCCTTAGGTCGAGAGATATATTCGGATTCCTCAAGAATTTTCGTGTTTCGTGCTTATTTTGGCCATAACTTCGTAAATAATTGTGATAAATGCCTGTTTTTCTTTTTCGTTATTATTTAGGTAAAACTTGAGGCTTAACTATCGTAAGATCAATGTAGTCAACTAACTAATACTACCTTGTTAGTTTTATTAAAAACGTCGAACATAACAGAAAAATGAAAAAGTGCAATAACTTAGAATGCTTTTTAAAGATAGAACGTATTAGCGGAAAAATGTGCAATCGGCTCAGGATTGCCATGAAAATGCGATTTGGAGGTGTGGCCAGGAGGTTTTACTGTACCTACAATCTACCTCGCGTCCTGCGATAGCGTTAGCTAAATACACTTTTTTGAAGAATGCCATATGCCTTTCACAAAAATACTTCGGTTATTGTTTTTCCTATATTATAGTTATAATCTATTTACTTTTTGTATGTATTTACTTGAAGAATTATTTAAAGTGAAGCCGATGTCACAAAATATATCTGATTAAATGTGATATATGAGAAGTTACTGAAAAAGTAGCTATTGCCAGTCACTGAATAATGAAAACATAACAAAGAAGAACATGCAAGTTTTTTGATGATTTGATGAAATGGTCTTTGATCTTTATTTAACTATAATGTTGAACGATGATATATTGGGTGGACCTGGCAACGTGGTCCAAATCGACGAATCGAAGTTGGGTATTTTCATATGCAATGACCGCTGGTGCTTTTGTATTTTTTATGTCACGCGAGCCACTGGAACATTTTCCACTATTTAGACACGTATCTACTGTTCAAAATTTCAGTAAATATTGGGACAACTTCTTATAAAACAAGTCATTTACAATAAATTAAGACTTTTATTTTACAAATAACCTCATTTTTTTATTACGTATTTCTCCAAAAAAAGCACAACTTGACAACAATGGATATCATTTATCTTATCTGTCATGAAATGAACGTTATAAAATGGAAATTTGGAATTATTTGTACTTTCAAATATTTTTTATAAACGCAAAAACTTTGATCTCATTGAAAATACGCGAAACAAAATGGTTAACGAATTAACGAAGACCTGAAAAAATCTCAGCACAACACCTCTACACAGTTTACCAAGTAGATACCATCATTTACGATATGTATTTTGAACTCTGTTATTTTAGCTTATTACGCGGGAAGTTTTGAACCTTTTTTTGCAAAAAAGAACGATTTTTTTATAGTTTCACATCTATTTTTGGAGAAATTATACTTTAGCGCATATCGCAAATATTTTATTTTTTTATTTAAAATGAAAGATTAGGATGTACCTTTTACGAAAATATCATTTTTTCTTTAACGAACCATCAGCTTGCTATTTTATAGAACTTGAAAGTTGCATTTTAATACTCTAGAATATTGTAGCATTTTTCTGGGTTCTTTTGGGTGTGGATTAAAACACTGGATTCCACAAAAAGAAATGCACTAATTTATTTAACTTGACTAGATAGAACATTTATGTACACCACTATTTATGTCTGACTACTTATTATGTCGCACCATTCAATGAACTATACTCTACTCTGCTTCCCTCTCCCGGCCGTCGAGTTATATAGTCCGCATCGCAGGACTCGAGAAGATTTCGGTGAGCCACATAGCGGCATTCCACAAGGTCACTTCGCGTCGATCTCGAAGAAAAGTCCGTGGTGGTCCTCAACAGATGTCGCCAGCACCGAAGGAGAGTAGTCTCACGGTCCCCAACAGATGTCGCCACCGAAAAAGAGTCTGGCGTGGTCCCTAGCAATGGCCAACATTTCTATTCATTCTTGTTACAATATAATACTATATTATACGCTGTTTTTTTTGCTTTTTGCTCAAAAGGATGCTCTAAATTATAAGAATATAACCTGCACTGTATATTACTAAGGAAAATACATGTGAAACTGTAAAAGATCCTGGGTTTTTCAAAGAAAAAGATAAAAAACTAGCCGTATAATAAGCAGAAATGATCATTTTTCAAGAAAAATAGGGCTGAAGTATACTTTAGCGCATATCGCCAATATTTCATTTCTTATTTTAAAATGAAAAAAATAGGATGTAACTTGTACAAAATTTGTTATATCAGCCTGAAATTTCCTACAATTCAAAAAGAAAACATAGCCTCACAGTAGGAGAGCGCTGACGCTGAAATAGAACAGTATAAATCTAGAAATACCACATCCTTTCTGAAGGAGAGCAAATACTGTTAAAATCAAGGAAGCCATAAAGGCGTGCTAAAATAATTATTGTAGGAACGACTGACTATACGGTCCTAAGGAACTATAATTCCATATTTTTGTTACTGTAATCGTTTGTCGTTCGGCGTGCAGTACAGAAAGTCGATTGAATGGTGAATATGCGAAAACAGTATGTTAAAAAAGTTGGATGTACTAAGACAACTTCAAATCACTGTTGTTTCATCTGTTTCAATCACAATAGACGTGTTACTATTATAAACAGTTTCTATTACCTATTATTGCTATGAGCATTATTTATATTTTATCATTATTACTTTTCCTATATATGTAGAGCAGAAAAATCCGTTTTTCCAGAGGCTGGTGTCATCTGTGCAATAAGTGTTGTACTTTAGACCATACACAGTTAGTTTCATTTTTTTGGTGAGCCATAGTTCATTCAAAAATTTGAAACATATATGAAATATGAAAACATTTGGAGTTTGTAGATGTTTTTGCCAAAGCTCATGTCACTTCTCGTATTTTTTTCATCGTCAAAGGTGACAGGTCCGAAGAAACCTCAACAAGTAACAAGTGCTGTTTCACATGTCATATCATAAGAAGTACCTAGCTGATCAATATAATGAGCGTTTAAGCAGTAAACTCAAATTTTCAGATACGCGAGGAAAATCATTAATGAATTAAATAATCAAATAAATTCCATGTCGCATACAATTATGAGGAAGAAATAAGCGACGTCTCTTGTACTGGCTTGAAAATATGCCTCAAAATATAGGATCTAGGATAAATTTAAAATTGATAACATAAATCTATTACGATTTCTTGGGAGTCATCTATTACCAATAAATCTGTTACACATTAGGAAAGAAATCTATTACGACACAAAAAACGCTTCCCGGCGATACACACACCAAAGTGATACCTCCTATCTAGACCAGTCTTGGCCACTATTAACCAAGTGGGTAGACATCTGCTCTCGTCACAGATTATACAGATGCGAACACCTGCTGGCGGTCCCGTTGATCTTCGTGTCCCCAACTGCTTACCATATTTCCGGCTAATGTTCATTAGCGTCCGCAGGATTTTTTCCTAGCGGTTGTTACGTCTTATTAGCAAGACGTCACGAATGTCATATGTCAAACAACATAATGACCAAATTTATTTGTGATTATCATTTACCCACATTCATTTTGGCGAGATAATTATTTCTTGAAAAGCGACATATATTTATCTATAGTATTGATAAAACTCAATGTTTTTGATAACCCCTAAATCCTAAATGTCACAGCAACATGAATCCTACCAAACGCATAGGACTCAAGTTGGCATTGTAGAACCTGATTTTTGACAGTGTGTCGCCTCTGTATAAGACTCTGTCGTTGGCTTTTCTCTATTCTTGGTTTTGTGGTTCTATTTGTGGTTTTATGAGTATGCTCTGTTGTTTTTACAGACCGTTATTACCGTATTACTGAACAAACCATAGAGAAACCAAAGCCCGTCTGATTTTAATTAAATATTAAATTAAAGTGTCAGATGATGAGGTTTCAAGTGCGAGAGGTAAAACAGTTTGACGCAAATGCTAACAACACTTTTATCATCTCACGTCTGTTATGTTTCGGTGTGGTTTCGCCAACGTATCAACGCCAACCTATTTTTTTAAAATTAAGAAAAATCACCCATTAACGGCACCTAACCTCAAATCAAAACGATCATCGCCCGATTGGTGCCGGGTATCCACGAAACGATCATATACCGCCTCGCGCTAAGGCCCGTATCGTCAGTCGTCCCTACAATTGTAGGGCGCCTTTATGGCCTCCTTGATTGTCATAATTTTCTACTTCTCCGTGTCAGCGCTCTATTTTGAGGTTATGTCACAAACAGCGCATCAAATTGTGCTTGCTTTTGAGATATATCATGTTCTATCAGCCTGAAATTTCCTACAATTTAAAAAGAAAACATATCTTCACAATAGGAGAGGGCTGACGCTGACACGGGCCAAGTGTAATCTAGAAATTTTTGAAGGAGAGAAAGGCGTATGACAATCAAGGAAGCCATAAAGGCGCCCTACAATTGTAGGGACCTAGGGACGACTGACGATACGGGCCCTAACCTCAAATCAAAACGATCATCGCCCGATTGGTGCCGGGGTATCCACGAAACGATCATATACCGCCTCGCGCTAAGTGTTCACAAATTACGGTAGACGGTAACGTAATTAGTGCCCGCTATCATGAAACCCACAACTGAGCATGCGTATCTGTCAAAATAACGTGCCTAGAAAATACCGCAGCACGTTAAGTGGCATGCGAAAACTCCATAATAACGATCATATACCGCCTCGCGCTAAGTGTTCACAAATTACGCTAGGCGGTAACGTAATTAGTGCCCGCTATCATGAAACCCACAACTGAGCATACGTATCTGTCAAAATAACGTGCCTAGAAAATACCGCAGCACGTTAAGTGGCATGCGAAAACTCCCTAATAACGCGTTACAACCCCTAAGAAAAATTCCTGCGGACGGTGATGAACAGAAGCGGGAAATGTTTTAAGTGACACTAAAAACGTACTGCGCACGCTCATGACCGTTCACTGTACGGTACACGGCTTTGTTGGAACAAAGCCGTGGTAAGCAGTTGAAGACACGAAAATCAAAGGGACCGACCTTACGACAGCAGGTGTCGCATCTGTGGCAACACTGGCAACACTGTTGTGATGTTCTGTGTCACTTCTCTAGTCTCTGTCTGTTTTAACCTAAAATTTAGAGAAAGAAGCGATTCATTTTATTTCAGTTTAGCTCAATTTTACTTTATAAAGACGTAATGTTAGCGGTTCAGCAAACTAACGATGCTGGAATACCAGATAAAATGTGGCAGCCTCCCTATGTGCAGTTTGATACAACGTAAGTAGTATCTCCGATTTGTCTTTGATCCCTGTTGTAGTTTGTATTTGTAGTCCAACGTTTTCCCATTTCAGCATGGGCGAATTTTTAATAGAACTGTACTGGAAACATGCACCACAAACATGCAGAAACTTTGCAGAGCTTGCTCGCCGTGGATATTACAACAACACAGTATTCCATAGAATTATCAGAGACTTTATGATACAAGGTGGTGACCCTACAGGTACAGGAAAGGGGGGCCTATCCATCTATGGGCCTACCTTCAAAGATGAAATACATCCAGAATTGAAGCATAGTGGTAAGAATTGAATAGCACAAGGAATAATTGCTTAACTATGTGTACATTCCTATGCTTTGTGACTGAGGCAACCATGGAACTATAAAAAAGTGAGTTGTTAAAGTTAAATGCTCTAGGCTAGGGCTGTCCAACTTAATGTGGCCCAAGAGACTTCAAAAAAAATGCAGTTTGGAGGGCCGCATGATAAAATCTTTCTATACAACATTATTACTGAGTTAATGTAAGAATTGTGCATATTTGGTATTTGAGAGTAATTTATACATGTGATGTATACATGAACCGTGAAGCGGGCCGCATGTGGCTCTAGGCTATAGATGGAATAATTCTAGCAGAGCATAGGAAGTTAATCCTTATTGTTTTTACTTCCTACAAAATTGACAGGGAAGCATTGAGATCATGAAAAATTTTCAAAAGTGATTTATGGACTTTATGTGACATATACATCATTCTCTCAGCCTATCTATCTATAACAAGGATACAAGGTTACTATTATGCCAAGGATGACAAAGCTTTGTTGTTTCTGAAAATCAGGATACTGGCGCCGGAGATAAAATTGCTTTACAAAATGAAAATAATGAGTACAGTCCCTACTTGACATTATTTTATGGAGCTCCTACTCAGAATTTTAAAAATGGTGTATTTGTAGTAATTAAGAATGAAAACATTTAAAAAATGTTCTCCCTCCTTGGATGGAATTCCAGATGAGTGATATATTGGTTATTCCAGTAGTTGATCTTCTTTGAAATAAGAATATTTAAAAAGAGGAGAAAAACTAATGAAGTATGTTTCGCAAATATTTAGTGGATTATACTTGCCTAAAAATGAACTTATACCTATTACTTTTTAGGAGCTGGTATATTATCTATGGCAAATTCTGGTCCAGATACAAATGGCTCACAGTTTTTCATAACTCTTGCTCCCACACAATGGTTAGATGGAAAACATGCAATTTTTGCAAGAGTTCATTCTGGAATGAATGTCATTAAGAGGATAGGGCTTGTAGAAACTGATAGGAATGACAGGCCTGTTGATGAAATAAGAATCCTTCGAGGAAAGGTTCTAAAAAGTCTGTGATATCTCTTATCCTTATGTTTTATTGAAATATTATACCAAGATACAAATGAATAAACGATTATACCGGGTGGTAGGGAAATAATATTCGTAACTTTAAGAGGTGATTCCTTGCATTATTCTAAGCAAAAAAGTTCATTATAACATGTCCGAGAAACAATCGTTTTCGATGAAAGTGAGTCGTAAATAATTAAATTTTCTCAAACATTTGGCAACGCAACCGCGATACGAGCGCACGACGACCGCAACTGATTCATCGAATTGTTTACGTTTGTATGATATTTTTGTTGAAAATATGCCTTGAATTATTGAATACTTTTAGGCAATTTTTGTGGCTAATATTTTTTATTTAATAACGCTTTCAGTACAGTATATTTACCTGAAAAAAATGACAGAACTTATCGGTACATGGCCATACACACCACCAATTCCCACGATCATCAGTCACTTATTTAAAACGATGCGATGCACGAAAAAAGAAAAAACCAACATCCGTAAATCACATAAAGTTACAATTAAATGTATTAGCAATAGCAACAACACGCGATGATAGTCATGTATCGTTCGCGAACGAGTCGTTCAAAATGAACGACTCATCTAAGTGAGCGACGATTGAACGACTCTTATTACATATGGCTCGTTCAATTGCAAAGCGTGTCTGCAGTATGCAGCAACTGAACTGCGAACTGACAACGTGGTAACAGTACAGACATTATCTAGGGAAGCCAATTGTTTTGTTTCGAGGTATCTCATTAAATTAAAGATGGGATTTGAGGGCAAAAATTGCATTTTGATCCAGGATTCGGTAATTCCTCAAAACCGGACCACATAACCCTTCTTTTTTTGGAAGACAGTTTACATTCGTTATATTCAATTTCAACCAAAAATATTAATACTTAAATAAATACAATAACATCGGCAACTCCAACCTTTAACCCTTTGGAGTCGGATTTATTTTTCTTATACTTGTGATATATCTGAGGTCAGATTTTATGTAAATGTGGATACTATATCAAGAAATGATAATTTTATTAATGTAGGGTACGCCCTTTTTACGCTAAGGGCCGGGACATATTTGTCCCACTAGACATTTTAGGTGGGGCATATAAAACCCAGTAGTCTTGAAAACAATTGTATTTCCATTGAAATTATATTGAACAACATGTGAAATATTATTGCAAATGGTAAGGAGTGAAGCAATTTTTGCATAGAGGTTTATTGCACATTTGACACAATGTTTTTGTTCTTACTTCCTTTTGCATCTGTGCGCATCTGCAGCAGCGACGTCTTGTGGGTCCCTCAATAGGTAAATGATCGCCCACATTTTGAAGTTTTCGTTTTTTGAACTTTGTCTCCCTAAAGATGTTGCTGATTTTCTCTTTACACTTGCCCCACTTCTTCCAACGCAATCAAATCTTCTGCTATTGTAATTAGGAATGGTAGGAATGAAGTTTGTGTGCGTCTTACATCATCGTAGAGAATATGAGCGTTTCTTGCAGCTATCATAAGGAGTTTGAAAAACACTTTTTTCCACCACTTATTTGATCTTCTGTCGAAGTCGTATAAGCCAGCATATTGATCGGTTAAATCTACTCCTCCCATATGGTCATTGTAGAACTTCAACATTGTCGGCCTGGAGAATTCTTTCTTGGTACCATCTTTCATGGTTCGTGTTACTAGAGTAGTTTCATCAGAGAAGCAGTTACTGATCGCCAACACTTCTTTCGTGTCTTGCCATCTGCAAACTATTGTACCATTTTTATTGAACTGAAATTGAGTTTCTCCTCGTTCCAGGTTTCCAGAAAATTTGGGAACATTTTTACGATTTCTCATCAGAGTTCCGACAGCAGGAAACTTGATAGTATCAAGTAAGTGCACAGATGAGAAAAACCTGTCAAATGTCAATACGACATTCGTTATTTTGATACTGTCTGATAATTTGAGAACAACTCTTTCGCCAAGTGTCCCTTCAAAGGCGTTCACTTCTTTACCTGCATAAATATTTAGATCATACACATATCCTGTTTTGAATCTGAGCGAACCCAAATTTTTATGCCACGTTTTATAGGCATCAGTGGTAAGTACTGTTTCAAGGAAGACCTCCCTTTGAATTTTGTCATTGACTCGTCAATACTTTGAAAAGTGGAGTCAGAACGATATTTGTTGAATGTGTGTTTGAGGCAGTTGACAACTTCTTCGATATAATATAACTTTCCTGCATCGGTAGGCTTCTCAGGGTTGTTGTAATACATTTTTGATAATAATAATTTGCAGCGATCTCTGGATATAGCCTTCTTTATGGCGGTGTTGCCCAAAGAGTCATTATTGGACCAGTAATTATTGAATCCAGGAACACGATTGTAGCACATTACAAGAGAAACTCCCAATAAAATCATTATTTCATGATAATCTGTTCCAATGCTCTTTTTCTTGGTAACCTTCTCGAATATTTTCAATCTGGCATTTGTGTATTTAGCAATCTGCATGAGTAGGCTTCTAGGAAAAATCTTCAAGAAAAATTCGACTTGCTTCATTTGTCTCAGCAGGCAAGAAGTAGCTGCTGCTTCGTCAGGTATACAGAATCTTGGAGAAAATTGTTGACTGCTGCTACCCCAAAATACTACTCCATCTGGTGCCACTACGTTTTCAGTTTCGATTGCCTCATTACCTTCTTGACTAATTTCATCATCATTGTTTATAACATCAGCGATAATTTCATCATCTTCGTTATTGTCGCTTTCTGAGGAACAATAATTCTCATCATCTTCGCTATTGTCGCTCTCTGAGGGACAATAATTTTCATCTGATGAGTCTTCACAATGAAATGGGTCATAATCGTCATCACTCAAGCCATCTTCCATAATTCTATCAACTTCTTCTTCAAGTTCTCTTTGTGTCAGTATTCTTTTACTCATTGTTGTACAGAACCACCGGGACAAATGTGTCCCGTTTAAAATGCCTGCTGGGACCCAGGTGTCCCACAGTGTAAAGTACTGAGATTCAACAGATTTTATAAGTACACGATCATTGAAAACTAGAGCATTGCTTATTACTAGCCTTAGAGAGCAGATACATTACAGTTAGGGCAATAGTACACTTGCAAATACTTCAGAATATAGTAGAACGCAAAGCACGTGTTGGCTGAACGGACTTCACCGATAAACTGTGAGGTTATGTGACTACTTGTCAACAAACACTTATATAGTGTGTGTTCGGAGACTGGTATATTTATGTATAATGGTAAAACGGGATCTATTTGTACCACTAGGCGCACATAATACATGAATGGGACACGTATGTCCCGATAGACTCCAAAGGGTTAATTTCATTTTCATAGCATGATGTATATTCTCTGACTCAGTGAGTCGTTACTATAGGCAACACAATACGCTCGTCAGCTGCGAGGCCAGTCACTAATCGTATCGTTCAAATGAACGGCTCACTAAAGAGAGATGAACGAAATGTGCGAGCTCAGAGAAAAGAGTCGTATCGTATATCTCAAGCCTACGCGATGATACATGCAGTGTTTGCGGAGTACGGCGTTGCCAGTTGTGTGAAGGATTTTGTTTGTATGTTTTTCTTCTGAAAATTGTTAATAAGCAAGAAAATTATTTTGTTAGAGGCAGTTAATTAATAAATAGATGTATTGATACACTTTACACTATTAGGCACATGAATTTAAAATATTAAGGTGCAAAATTAATTTATTTTATGACTAAAAAGAAATAAGTTCAGCATTTTTTTAGCTCCGAAGCGATTGCTTTTTAGACATAGGTTATAATGAACTTTTTTGCTTAGAATCATGCAAGGAATCACCTCTTGAAGTTATGAATATTATTTCCCTAACACCCTGTATACAACAATGTTATGCGTTCTGTGATCTACAGTTCTACACAACTAAACTAAGTACGACAATCCTCAACATGTTAGTTCTTTGAAGAAAACATGAATTTTTAAAACCACACCCACTTTCCAATGTATTCGGAAACCGTTCCATGTCATTTTGATGTTTCTTGAGTATTTTAGGTTAGATAATCAGCTTGAATATGAAAATAATTATCTGCTGCATATGTTTGGTGATAATCAGAGATAAACCCTTCTAGTGATAATTTTCTCAGGTGGGATGAGAAAACTATTTTTTAAGGTAAATTTCACATTTTAGTATCGCATTGATGGTTATTGCTTAATAATACTAATTAGTAATATCCAGACTATTCTAGATGATTGGGTTGAAGAGAAATCTACCACTCGTAGTCATATTAGGTTCTACTGGATCAGGAAAGACGAAACTATCACTTGAGCTTGCTCAAAAATTTGATGGAGAAATTGTTGGAGCTGATTCAATGCAGGTAAGGGCTATAAGCCACATTTGAAATCTACAAATTAATATCAGTCTGTCCATATTCTAGATTTACAAAGGGCTTGATATATCTACTGCCAAGGCTACTCCCCAGGAGCAATCTGTAGCCCCTCATCACCTGATTGATATTCTTGACCCTCATGAAACCTTCACAGTGACTCAATACCGCAATAAAGCCCTTAATGTGATTCAAGACATACTAGATAGAAATAAATTGCCAATTGTAGTTGGAGGAACAAATTACTACATTGAGGCCTTGCTTTGGAAGATACTTATAGATAATGATCAATATGTAAATACTCATGGCATCTTACCTCACAATGAACATGAACTGCCAAGTGAAGTTTTGCATCAGAAACTCAAGGATTTGGACCCCAAAATGGCTATGAGATTACATCCTAATAATAAAAGAAAAATTATAAGGTTACTATTAAATATCATACTCAAAATTTTCGTTGTATGCTGCATATTGTCGTTGTTGTTTTGATGAAAACTGCTATGTGTTTAGAAGTAGCTTATACAGAATGACATAAAAAATCTCCTAAATTTAAATATAATATAATAAACCTCTACTGAATTACTGGAATTTCTTATTATCAAACTCTTGAACATCAGATCACAGAGCTCATATTTCACTATACAGGTATTCAGAAAGCTCTGATGTGGAAAAATTGTTACATAGGAGGTTGCATCATAACAATGATGATATGTGCCATGTCATATGTTTTGTCTGTATCTCAAGAGTAATATGCAATTATGGTCCTCTTTTACTGTATGGCTCTTTATACTTATACTTTTCTGGCTTTGGGGTCATAGACATTTTATTCATATTCTTGATACTCTAAAATTATTACTCCAGTCCTTTTTCTTTCATTGTACTATTTTAGAGCACTTGAAATCATTTACGATAAAGGACAGAAGGTCAGTGATATACTAGCAGAGCAACAATCTGCAAGAGATGCTTCAACCTCTGGAGGTGGACTACGATTCACTAATGCAATAGTATTGTGGCTGCAGTGCGTTCAAGATGTTTTAGATGACAGGTTGAATAAGCGGGTTGATTCAATGATGGAACAAGGTCTTGTGAATGAACTGTTAGAATTCCATCATAAATACAATCAAGAGAGGCTAAATACTAATGTGTAAGTATGGAAACAGATTGCAGCATCTGAAGAAAATTGTTAGGTAGGCTTCATAAAGCTTTTACCTGTCAGACTTTAGGGAACATAACACAAAACATGAAAAAGGCTGGTACAATGGAATTGGCTGAAATACTAGTATGTTGTATATACTACCTTCTGATCAAAAAATCTCATAGCCGTTAAGTAAGTAAATGTAATTCAAATCTCATTTGCGCTCAATCAAAGGCAGCAGCAAGAAAATTGTAGCAACAATCAATAATTAATTAATTAATTATCACAGAGGTACTCATTGACCAAGTAATGAGCTCTACTAAGGAGTAACTGTTTGACAATTCTATTAAATTCATGGGGATTTGATTGTCTTTTGTAGTTTATTAAATATGTACTTTCATTCCAGTGTACTTGGGACTGCTTTTCGTTATTGATAGCCTTTGCCTCTGAGTTTATACTGCAGTTATTCTCAACATAAAGTAAAAGATGAAATATGTAGTGGCAGAGTATCTTTAGCTTGAAGAAAATACATATCTCTACAAGGTGTTCTATTGCTTTCGTCATCCTCATAGCCCTTTTCTGGATTACAAATATCCTGTTTATATAATTCGATGAACCCCAGATAATTACTCCATTGGAAATGGTGCTCTGAAAGTAAGAGTAATAATACATGATGATCACAGATCTATCCACAAAAGACTTCAGCTGGTTTATACAAGAAACAGGAGGTAGTAGTTTCTTGCATATATTGTCTATATGCATTTCCCATTTGCAGATATTTGTTATACATATGCCAAGGAATTTTACATTATTCTCTTGTCTCTGTCCCTTGATTTAATGTGAAGGCTGTTGTCATAATTTGTCGAGTTGGAAAAGCGTGAAAATTGTGACTTATACCTGTTCAATATAATACAATTTACCCTGAACCAGTCATGTACCCTTTCACCCATCATTGGCTGATCTTATTCTTCGGTACCCACTCTACCCATTCATTTTGAGCAGCATACTTTGAATGTAAGCTATATTATATTCTACAATCAAGATTTATTATTTTCGTTTGTAGTGATCCAGATTATACTAAAGGAATATATCAAGCAATAGGATTTAAAGAGTTTCACAACTACTTAATGTTAAGTAATAAAGAGCAATGTTCATCTGAAGGAAAATCTGAATCATCTAAAGCTGTTGAACAATTGAAGCTAGTGACCAGAAGATTTGCCAGGAAACAAAAGAGATGGGTTAGCAATCGATTCCTTGGTAGGAGTGACAGACAGGTTAGTTATGTTTTATTGACCCTATAACCAGAGTACGAAATTCTTGGCAGTGGCTCATCACTGTTAACAAGGTCAGTGGCTTTGAGCAGAGGGGTGGAGAGGGATTCTTCCATGTATGTGTGAACTAATTTTTGTAAAAGGTCTTAATACAGAATGGCAAAGTGGTTCATTTATATTCAGTTATTTAACCTGATATTTAACAATGTAATTGATAAAACAGAAAAGTTATCATAACGAATAATTGACAATATACAGGGTGACTTTGAAGTTGTGTCATTAATTTTCAGATAATGATTGTAGAAGGAAGATAAACCAAAATATGTGTGTAAAAATAAAAAAAAAATTACCTTGTTTTATAAAGTATCCTCCCGACAAGTATTTCAGTGCGGACCTGTATTTGATCGTGAGGTCTTGGAGCACCGGCATGCCGTCCATATGTGAGGTCTTAAGTCAAATGATTCACGAACCCGTTGTACTACATTAACAAAGGCACGAGGGGTTGGTTGCACTCGATTGGGAAACCGATCCGCATAAACGTGTGCCATTTTTTATTTCGTTTGAGCCACGCAACAGACACCACTATCCACTACCGACTGACACTGACTGTATACAACTGAATGAAATAATTGTAAAAACATCGTTCCAAATTCTTTCGCTTTTTTGTTTCCGATGCGTTGAACCGATAAGGCGAATTATATCCGTTGTCGCCAAACACGAGCACATAATATTATTATTGAGACAGGGCGGTACTCAAACTTCCAAAGGGCTATAACTTTGTTACTTTAATTTTACCAGAAAAATGGTAAAGGAAAAAACATTTCTTTTGATCAGATCTACTCACTGTTAAAATAAATGACTCAACTTCGAAGTCACCCTGTATATATATATAATGTACAGAGTGACCAAACGAGTGACGTCATAAAAAGAAATTACCCTCATGTATATAGCCCGATTTTTTTTTTAGTTTAGGAGTTATGATTTCTTTTTTCGGATTTTTCAAGAACTTTCTAGGTTCGTGCTTATTTTGGCTATAACTTCAAAAATAATTGTGATAAATACCTGCTTTTTCCAGAATGATGGCGCACCATGTCACAACTCAACTATAGTGCGACACTACTTACACCCGAAGTTCCCCAACAAATGGATCGGACGGAACGGACCGATAAGGTGGCCTCCACGCTCGCCTGACCTCAACCCCATAGATTTTTTTGTACCTGGGTTATTTTAAAGATATAACTTTTGCCCAAGAATATGCAAATGAAAACGCACTAAGGAATAAGATTGATGAAGTGACGCATGTTATAAAAAACAACACTCAAGCATTTAGAGCGTTAAAGCAAAATTTCATGCGTAGGTGGAATGTGCATTTCTGTTGGAGGCAGACATTATGAAATAAAATTTTAATAATAGTCAGCTGTTCAACCAAGGTCAGACGTTTTTTTTTCTGTTTTTACAATTTCCGTTGAACAGCGGGTAATCTAATTTTTGGTTCGGTTCTATTTAAAGCTAGGTTGATGAAATTTTTGTGGTGAATAGCTGATAAAGTAAGAAGGTTTTTAAGATACTTATGCATAGGAAGAACATGTTTTTTCTATCTTTAAAAAGCATTCCAAGTTGTTGCACTTTTTTGTTATGTTCTACGTTTTTAATTGAATTTACAAGGAAGTATTAGTTACTTGACTACATTGATCTTACGATAGTTAAGCCTCAAGTTTTACCTAAATAATAACGAAAAAAAAAGGCATTTATCACAATTATTTACGAAGTTATGGCCAAAATAAGCACGAAACTCAAAAATTCTTGAGGAATCCGAAAAAAAAATCATAACTCCTAAGCTAAAATGAATCGGACCTAATACATGGGAGTAATTCGGATACCTCTCGACCTGAACCTAATTTTTTTATGAAGTCACTCGTTTGGCCACCCTGTATATTATATACAATAAGTATATATCTTTTTTAGAAGGGAAAAGTGTCTGTAGTCTGTATGGTAAGAATTAACAAACATGTTTTGTTTGCGAAAGATTTTTGAATTTTTTATTGTGTTTATATGGGTCGTTTTACAATAGTACTTAATTTTCGTTGTTTTGCATGTTCCTTTAAACAGTCAGAATATTACAATAGGGAATATGCATGTTTTTTTATAGTATCTGTCAATTATTTGCGTTAGTATAACATCGTGAATAGTGTGAATACATATTTCATTCATGGTTGTGCCTGTACTCTTTTCAAATTAAATGGCGTTGATTAAACGCCGTTTTTTTGCGGTCAAGTTTTGAAAGGTTCTATTTTACTTTTGCTGTTTTTCGGACGGCGAAATTCTGCTGGCGGCAGCACGTCCGCTGTCAAGCGATGTTGACATCTGTTGAAAAAGACGCGTAACTTATAACTTATTGTAGTTAGATAGCTCAGTAGCGGACTCCGCGTCAACTCTTTAGATCTGATGATACTCATAGGTTGAAAAACAATGACAGCGACAAATGATTGGTTACTCACTTGCCGAAACCGTGACGTCACACCAATGGCGTTCATTTCTGTATTTTAAATTTGCCGTGTATTTTTCCATACTTTATTAACTAATACTCGTAATTTTAGACCGCTTAAGTATAAATTAAGGGTGACGGTGGCTTTCTGTAGCAATATGGACTGTAAGTAAAAATAAATTACCGATATTGTAACACCTTCAGGTACCACCTGTTTATGGACTTGATACATCAGATGTCTCAAAATTCGAAGAGTGTGTTACAAAAGTTGCTGAAGAAATTGTGAGAAGTTACATCTACAATGAACAATGTCCACATGAACCTCTTCCAAAGAAAATCAACAAATCCGTTCCAAATAGTTTATGTAACACTTACACATGTAGTACGTGTGATAGGGTATTTATAGGACAACTGCAATGGGAAGCACATTTGAAATCGAGCAGACACAGGAAAGTTGCTGCTAAAAAGGAAACACCTTTATCAAAGTCATGATTGAGATGATGATAATTTGGAGATAGTACATGCACAGAAAGGTAAATTATGTCTTAAGGTTTTGTTACTGACAAGTTCACTGGAATGAACTAGTTAGAAAATCGGTACGTACGAATACGTTCATACTTCTGTACAGAAGGAAATTCTGTTTTTCTTCAAAATACATACCAAGATAATAAGTATATCTGGACGTCACAACTAAACAGTATTAAGTCACACTTTATAAATTTTACAGTATAGCAATCTGAAGAATTTAGATTGTAGAATACGCTATGGACGATGTCCCAGGTATGATGCTAAAATGTATTTTGCTGGCTCCAGTCAATGTTGGTTGAAAGGTATCACAAGCAGTTGTGAAAATACACCCTTTTATTTAAAAATTTTGATTGAAACACAACTTGTGGACAAAATATTGTATGGTTCTGAGAATGGACATAATATCTTGTGACTAAATACCTGAATCAGCGACTTAATACAGTGTGGCTCTCAGTCAATGTTGTACATTTGATGACAAAGTCCTGTACAGCAATAAAGAAATAATTGAAAATAGAAAAAAATAACGTTTATTTGGGTTCTCATTACATAGACTCATTAATACTAACTTTAATAGTAAAATTTAATTATAATAATGCACTCTATGCAAATATTCAACCATCTAGTCATCTTCATGAACTGCCTCATGGCGAAGATTTTTATAATAACCATGGAAGCGCTGCGGCACCCATTTCAATAGTTTTTGCAAATCAGTGTATTTTTTTGTGGAAATTGGTTTTGGATCATTTCTTATGGGCAGCAGCGTGGGCAAACTGGATGTACTGGGATTATTCAATTGTCGTGTTGATCTGCGATTAACTCTATGGTAGTCGATCTGTTCGAAATTTTCTTGACAGAATTTTGTTTTGAAATGCATTACTCCAGGTGTTTCCGCCAAAAATTTCATGTGCACCACTTTTGATACAAAAAATGTTTGGTTTGTCACTGTTTATTTCTTAAACTGAAAAATACATCCTTGTAGATCATTGAAATTTTTGAAGTTATCTGTTTCCATTTCTTTTACGGCTATATTAGGACCACACAACCTGATTAGCTGCTGCCAATCCCACGGTGTACATATTTGGAACTGAGGTAGTGACTTGATTTGTTTTTCAATTCTTGCATGTACTGTATCTGCCTCCATATGGGTATGTCCGCGCAAAAGAAACTTATGCTCAATGCATTTCAAAGAAGGCTTCATTATAAGTAGGTAAGAATAACACATGATCATCTGCTGGTTTCTATTTTGAGAAGGACAATTGTCGCTCCAAATTATAATCCTTTCAATCGAATTAGGAAGATCTAAGATATATCTCATCATGCATGAAGCCATCTCATTACCTCCACGACCGGCCACTGACTCATCCCAAACAAAGCAATCTGCAGATTTGTCTGTTGCATCATAAATAGTGTAATTAAACGTCCATAATTTGAGGGAGTAGAAACTTTGACAATTTTTTAGCAAAGGTGTAGCAAGACATTTTTGTAAATCAACAGTTATCATTTTTATACCTGGTTGAGCTCTAGCTCCCTCTTTGTCTTTTCGTTTATACGTGTAACGGTTATCAGCATCCAGAAGATGAGCTTCATACTTCTTTTGTAATTCATTTCGCTCTTCCACTGATCCAGCATCTTTCAACTTGATAAGAAATTCATCGCATGTATCGCAGGTGTCATTGTCCGGTTCTTTGAATGACAGATTGAACTCGGTGTTAAATATATCTGCGTATAACCACTGTTTCAGGATTTCTGCTTGACTCAATTTCTTTTCTATACATTCTTCATAAAAGCATTGATACATTTTGGAGATACTGAGATGACTTCCCAAGTAGCGCCTCTGGCTTTTATTCCGTGAGTAATGAGAGTCTACACATGGGAACTTCTGAATGTGTTCTCTTATGATGTTCCTCACTTCAGGACCAATTTTGTTTGGTGGTTCGTGTTTGCCCCTTTGGTCAGGTATCACAACGCCGCTGCTCAGTCTTTTTGTTAATGCAAAGCGGATTGATGTTTGAGAGATGCTTAGAGTGTTGATAAAGAAAGTACGACAGACACTAATCTTTTTGCCGTTCACCGTGAAAAAATATCTCAATGAATATTTGCGTTTACCAGCACGTGACCCAGTTCTAGTACGAACACGTTGCACTGGAACTTCTTCTATGCAACCAGCAATAAATTGCCTTTTCTGGTCCACAAGTAGCTCACTGCTCCAAAACTGGGAATAAATTGAAGCTCGATCATCAGATGAGATATTTAGAGTGCACTTCTTCTTACAATCAACACCACAGGGTAGTTTCATACTTTTTGCGGGAATTACTTTCTGTTTTGCTGACACATATTCCTCGCCTGCTGCTTTCTTTGTTTTTCTGATGTTGTTCTTCCATTTTTTACAGTTTCTGGAACGTTTTCTTCCTTTTTTTTCAATAGTAGCTGCAGAAGATACAGATTCATTGGAACTACTACATGTTTCGGTTTGGTAATTCAAGTCTGAATGATACTCTGTTAGGACAGTATTGGCAATAGGGTGCTTACTATCACTACTACAACTTTCCAAAGTATCATTTTTTTCGTATTCTTTGTCAACAACTGGAATAATTTCATCTCCTACGTTTTCAGCGACTAGCATCGGTTCATCATTGTTATCTACTGCTACTGCAATCACTTTTACATCACTTGGTATGCCACCGTCCAAAGATTCTGGTACTGCCTCTAATTCCATAAGAATCTCGGTCTCCTCATCACATTGCAACTGCCCTGAAAAGATGAATGCAAACATTACAATCGTTACAATAGAAGACGCCAAGTAGAAGCTATTTCTTCATTTTTATTAAACTTGAAATCGTGCATAGCCAGTGCCATTTATTATTGTTAGCAGATTCTTTGAGAACCAGTTCTGTTTTCGATAGCTAATTTTACTTACAACTATGAACAGGTTCATCTAAAGGCAATAACTGATTGATTTCAGAAATATACTTACCGTCATATACATTCGATAATGAGGTTATGTCATCTTCTTCAGGGGCCCATTCGTCAGGTTTCCGTGACTGTATCATTTCCACAAGTTTTTTGCCTCTAGATGTCATAATGGCAATGATAAGAATCCAAAATTTGATAATCTACTGATGCTTCTAGCTAATTTTATATTAAATATGCTACCTCTCACTGTATGGACATAATATAAACTAGTGCTGTTAGCGGAGACGGGGCAACTGTAGGAGTAACCGGAGATCGCGGAGCTGGCACCGAACGGTGATATCCGGTACTACTGTAGGAGGTGGGGAGAATCCGGAGGGATACGGAGGTAGGGAGTTAGGGCGATCTCCGGAGGGGAACGAGGCGACTGGTGATACGGAGTCTAGTGGTGTTAACGGAGAGAAGTTATGGGTGTGTGTGTGTGTGTGTGTGTATGTGTCGCGAATCTGCCATTTGGCCAATTTGAAACTTTTAAATGGATCCTAGAAAATCGTCCCAAGCGTGGCTCCATTTTGAGCGAATAGATGATAAGCCGGACTCGGCAAAGTGTAAAATTTGCGGAAATGTTTCCAAAAGGGGTGGCGGTACAAAGAACTTGTTAGATCATCTGCAAAGATTTCATTGCGTGGTGCTGGAAAATGGAGCCATCGCAACACGTGCTGATGGGGGCCCAGGTTTTTATGAGGAGAACAGCCCAAAACGGAAGGCCCTCGACCGTCATTTCCTAAGAATGTTTGCCATGGACTATCAGCCGTTTCGTGTTGTGGAAGATGATGGATTCGTTCAATTTGTGAAGGCCCTTGACCCACGGTACAAATTACCATGTAGACAAACGATATCTAATGTAAGTATACAGTGTATGTGTGCAGGTTGTCCTAAGTTTACCGACTTACTACGGTAGTACAAATATAGTCATGAATTTTAGTAAATTCCCTTTTTATGTTGCTACTGTTACAGAAATTGCTTCCTGGGCTTTACGAAGAGGTAAAAGAAGCCATAAAAAGGAATCTAGCGGAAGCAAAGCACGTGGCGCTAACTATAGATGCCTGGACTTCCATAAGTCAAGACCCCTACTTGGCGGTAACCGCTCATTACGTCAGAGAGGATAAGTTGAAAGCCGCTTGCCTGGATTGTGTTGTTCTGCCAGGCAGACACAGTGCAGAAAATATCAAGAAAAAGTTCTTGAAGTAATGAATGAGTGGCGACTTGTCAACAAGGTGACAGCAGTTGTGACTGACAACGGCGCCAATGTTGTTGCTGCCCTTAAATTATTAAAATTGCGACACCTACCTTGCGCAGCGCACACGCTCAATTTAGTGGTCCATGACGGCGTTACCCAATCTTACGATGTGGAAAATCTTTTTGAGCGCTGTGCTGCCATTGTCACTTTTTTCAAGTGAGTAAATAATTATTAATAACCGGTATACTCGGTGCTACAGATACATACGCGACAGTCAGTTCTACTTTGCTGACTGCAGGCAACCCAACTAACTGTCGCGTATGTATCTGTAATATCCAGTATCTAATAACTTGAGTTATTTTAAAAGAATTTGACTTACAAAAGATAGTTTTTTTTCCAGACACAGTAACCTGGCAACATATAAGTTGAAGTCCAAGCGCTCTGCCGCCAATAAAAGTTGCTTAGGGGTAGTGCAGCAGGTAGACACGCGCTGGAACAGTAAGCTTGCGATGATACGTCGTCTCATTGAACTCCGCGAGGAGCTAATTTTATGCATGTCTGAATTGCCAAACGCGCCGCAAGGTTTAAACGGTAAGTTGTATATAATTTTTTCCTTTAAATAAAAGATGGAATACTTGTTCATCTTGCTTGGTCCAACTACGATTACCTCTTTATTGTTATTATAGGAGATGACTGGCAGATTTGGTCCAGCTGGATTCAATATTACGTCCATTTGAAGAGATGACGAGGACGTTGTCTGGTGAGAATTATGTCACGGCTTCTCTCATTATTCCTCTTACCAAGGGGTTGATCCGAATGCTGGACGATATCGACCGGTCTGCTCTCAAATATGAGGTTCAGGAGTTTCTTGACAATATTAAGCAATCGGCGATTGATAGATTGCTGCAATATGAGCAACGCAGCGTTGCAAAAGGTGCAACTCTCATGAACCCCCACTTTAAAAAGAAAGGGTTTGTATCTGAAAATCGGGCAGAGGATGCACGAATTCAAATAGAGGCCGAAGTCAAGACAGAGGTTCAGAGGATGCCACCACCGACACAACAAGGAGGAAACCTTACCCCGGCTCCATATGCCGGCGTTCTGTCTTACCTAAATGATCAAGGCGAGAGACATTCAACGGCCAGCACTTGCACTGTGGACGCAACTATTCTCGTTAGACAATATGTGGAAGTGCAGCCAATCAACAATCAAAGAGACCCGATAAAGTATTGGTCTAACGTTGACGTTCAGTGTAAACCCCTTGCTCAGGTGGCATCATATTATATGTGTGTGCCAGCCACTTCAGTTCCATCAGAACGTCTCTTTTCAAAGGCCGGTTACGTTATTAACGAGCGACGAAATTCGCTATCGCCGGCAAAGGCAAAAATGCTAGTGTTTTTACATGGTAACAGAGCATTTGTTTAAAATGAATATTTTCTCCCTGTTACAGTAACACCTCCATATCTGTTTGTACGGTGGTATAGTGATGTTTACTTTGTATTTTGGGGGATATTGTGATATTTTTTCCCTTTTTTTTGATATTTTGATATCTATTCTTTTGTATTTTTTGGGATACATTGATATTTATCCCCTTATATTTTTTGGGGTATAGAGACGTTCATCCTTTTATATTTTTTAGATATCGTGATAGCCATTTCTTTATATTATTTTGGATATGGGGTTCTACTTCATCTATAATTCATAGTTCCTGTTACCTATAATGTTTGTCATATATTAAAATCTTTTTCTCCATTTTTCATAACAATCGATCAATATTTCAACTTTATTTGATTCGTCAAATATGTGTCGTGACGTTTCACTTTACAGATGAAATAAATCATACTATTCTTCTTATTTGGGCACATTGAACCTCATTCCTTTCTCACAACCTTTTTCCAGAAATGAAAAAAAGTTCCAAAGAGCGCTTTTTTTTCCTTTTAAAAGTATTGCTTTGCAGAAAATCAGCCTAAGTCAAAGAACGATAAGTGCACGCACGCCTTCAATACATTAAAAAAATATAAAATATATATTTTGTGTAAGGTGGTACAAATCCAATTAAAAATAAACTGCGAAAGGGCAAAAACCATATTTTTATCTTATACAAAAAATTCGCAAGGGCTGGTTCGAACCCTCAACCCAAGGGGGAATCATACGATATGCCCTTGCCTTTGCCCACTACGCTACAGCAACTACATCTCATTCGCCGCTCCGTTTCAAAATCAAATCAGTATGCTGTACAGACCAATGAATCCGGTTGTTCTCCGGAGATCTCCGCGAACAAGCGCGCGTAAACATCCTCCGGAGAAAACCGCTCCGTTAACAGCACTAATATAAACAGCTTATGAAATAAGTATCATGTCCAATGAACTGTCAACACTGATGGAATGGCCCCGTCCCATTTGAACAATGAAGCGAATGTGCGGCCCGAGTGAGATGGAGCTAGCCCGGGCAAAAGCACGGCAAAAGCGCGCGAAATATGAATGAAGCGATATCGATTAATGAGGATTTCTACGAATAAAAAAGATTTAATACTTATCCAAGCACCTGGAACGTCATAAAAGCCTCAAAATATAGTAAATAGCGGTAATTTTAATAAAAAAGCAATTTCTGGAAGTAGCAATTTATTACATCACCATTTAAAAAAATACAAAATATATATATCTTATACGTATATGAAAAAAAATTTTTTTAGAACATTAAAACAAGAACATATATAGCAGAGATAGGGTCGTTCGACATGGTATAATGATAAAAAAAGATGGACCTCAGGCAGCTCTTTGTCTATAATATTTTAATATACCAACACAAAAATAGGCAAACTTTAATGCTCATCTCCCACTGCCATAGTTGAAGACATGAGTTAGAAAAAGGAAATAGGCGTATTCTAGCAAAAAACAAAAGAATAGTTTTCATTACATTTTATAGCACCACGTCTTTACTCTGAATTGACAGAGATACACGGTAGTGAACGCTTTGAATTCCAAGCATTTTGAAGAAAGACTGTGAAAATGGATACTAAGGACACCTCGCACGATTTTACAGATATATATATATATATAGATTTGGAGAGCAAGTGTTGTATCTACTTATCTCTACTCACGTTTCGGAGAAACTCGGACTTGTGTAAACTCCTTCAAATATATGTTTTATTAAGTCAAACTTTTATATGGTTATGCGGCCAAATGCGGTATATGATGTTACTTGATAGTGTGACAAAGGAATTGAAAAGGTAGCCTGCGCACAAATCTTTCTTGAAGATTCCAGTGGGTAGTCCTACTTATTTTACAAATATCTTTGGTATAGGGCTGATTTATGTAAGTTAACTAAAGGAAATCAATGGATGAAATTTCAAATTGTTGGTATTGCATTACTTTTGTTCCTGACTGGAATACATCACTATTGATTTCTAAAATGAATTGTTTTGGTTAACCTTTGCCTAATTCTGTCGGTAATTTGATTTTTGGTCGAGTTTATATGGTGAAGGCGAATAGTGAAATAATTTTTCAAAATTAATCTGATCAACTGAATGATATGGCCATCAAGTGGGTCTTGTTCTAGACAGTGCTCCGATAAACACAAAAAAAGTTCCCTGAAATTTAAATTTCTCATTGCAGCCGAGATCAACTTCAACATTATTTTCGGAATGGAAAAGTTAGTCTCCGTCTTTATAATACTTTCTGCAACCGTACACACTTTAACAACATCTTTTGTAGGCTTGCTTAGACCTCCTCTATTTTTCCTATTCAGGAGCTTACAAGTAGAATCAGATGTTGTAACTGATTTGGCACATTCGTTACAATTCAGGGTCTGACCTAGTTTTTTGCTGACAAAACCTGCTATATATTCCACAACATCACAAATATACACACAGTTTAAAATTTTATTGTGATTAACAATGTATTGTTCCTGTAAATCGGGAGAAAAATCTTCCTCAAATTCATACAGTACATCGAGAGAAGGATTTTTTACTTTTTTTGAGGTAACATTCAAAATAGAGGTGCTGTCTTGTGCTAAGCAATTTGCACTTTCAGAGGAAGCAATTTCGCTGTGAATCAGCAACCTCTTATAGGCTTGTTCAAATTGCCATGCTGTTGGATTATTGGAAAAACCCCCTCTCCTACGTACTGCGGCAAAAAACATTTCCAAATGATCCTGGCTCAATTTGTACGTTAATAAAAAATTTAAAGTCCCACTTTTCACTAAATCTTCAAATAAATTTTGAACACTAACCAAACAGATAATCAATCCCAAAAAACCTGTTTTTCTACTAGTCTGTAATATATTAACACCTTCGTAATTTGTTACTGTACTTAAGTAGCTAATAGAAGTCTGTACAAAATTTCTTAAAAACTCTTCACTACCTTTATATAAAGGTTTTTTGAACTGGGTGCTGCCAAGAAAATTTCTTGTATTCAGCAGATCGAATACATTATTAATATTTTTGCAAAATGTTGCAGTCGCTTCTGCATATTGGAAAGAAGGTATGTTTAAATATTTCTCACAATATTCTAACGCGTCACTCACACTTGAACTAAATGTTTGTACTGCTAACTTCACTCTCATTCTTTCTTTATAGTAGTTCAGGTGCCTCCTCCTAAGTTTAGTGGCACAATGCAGACCTGTATCTTCTTGTAGGTTGACAAGTTGTTTGAAATATTCCCACTTAATGTCATTCCCTCCACCATCTTTTAGAGCGCCATAGTCGCCTAGAGTATTGCGAACCAATTTAATCATGTGGCAAGCATCCAATATTATATGTATTTTCTCATTGTTATTGGCATTAATGAAAAAAGGCTGACTACATGGAAAACCTAAATTCGCACCTAATAAGTTTGCCATGAGGATATTTGATGCATCACCATCAAAAGTCAAACTTTTAATTAATATGCCAGTGCTTTCCAATTGTAACAAGCACCCCCTGACAAAGGTAGCCTTTTCTTCAGCCAATGATTCTATTAGGAAATAAGCTATTGGAACTTTCCATCTAGTATTAATGCCAACAACCATGAAGACTAAAGCCTTTGTGGCCTTTGGCATCTCCTGACTACTTTGCATTGTAACACCAATATTTATGTAGCCTACTGCTCTAATCCCAGTCCAATGTACATGCTGATGAATATACATCTCATCCATCATCAGGGCACCAACAAGCTTTTTTCCCTTTTCTTTTTCAGCTTCCACCTTAATTTTTATAGCACGAATTGCTTCTTCGCTATATCCAGGTGTACCATCTACAACACTATACCATTTTGAAAGAGTGCGTGGATGTGGTAAAACTTTTTTTCCAAATATTTTCCTAACATAGTTGTACGCTGATGATGAATAAAAATTTAATGTTAGTGCAAAACATCTCAACTCTGGGCTATATTTGTTAGTTTTTCCTTTTTTCAGCTGCCTGAAAAGCAGCTGCTTTTGGGTTTCTGAAAGACTTTCCTGTAAAAATAAGATAAATACATGCATAAGCTGAAAATTTCATGCAGGCTAAAAAAGTTAGATAGAATGATCACCCTAGCTAGCAATCAATAGACATGCTACAGAGTTAAACAATAAAAATGCAAATTTCACAAGCAAAAATAGTGGAATCTAAGTAGCAATTGTAATATATTTTCATCTTAAGCTTAAAGGAAAATATCCTTCCATCAAATGTCTACCTTAAGTACTAATGACTGAGCTGCAGATATTTTCTTCTCTTCACATAGTTGATCCACTAGACTATTTATTTTATCTTTTTGTCTGCGTATTGTACACTTATTGTACTTGATCATTTTTCTGTACTTGTAAACAGTCTCATGAGTAATTTTCCAGAATCTCTTCCTGCGTTGCAAATTACTTAAATCAGAAAATTTGAAGTCTCCAAAGAATACAGGTTCTCTCCTGAACATGAAAATGAAAAAAAGTAACAAATGAGAAACACAGAGTTGGATGATAATTACCTTAGATTGCACATGTTTGAAAGTTCACTTGATTCAAGGTGTTCTGGGTTTGTGCTGAGTTTGATGAAGGTCCAACTTGCAGATTGCAAATGTTTGAAGGTTCACTTGATTCAAGGTGTTCTGGGTTTAGTGCTGAGTTTGATGAAGGTCCAGCTACCAATAAATTTCCATCAACACTGATAGGGTCATTTTCAGGTTCTTCTACTGCTTCACAAATATCCAAGGTTTGATCTAAAAATGATAAGGTTACTAAGTTATACCTACTTAATCATTGTATCTTTTCTTTTTGTGGAAGTACAGAACTTAAAACCTCAATTTGAGACTTATTAGTCAAAAGAGACCTGTTTCTTTTGATGTTGATTCCTCACGTTTTCTTTTCAATACCCTTCGTTGTGCAGTAGGTTTTTTTTTGAGATGGGCAGGAAAATCAAAAACAGATGGAACTGCCGACTTTTTTAGTACCCTATTTCCATGCACATTAACTTCATAATCATCAGGTGTGAAATGTTTTTCACAAATTACTGTTGATGTGCTGGGTGTAAAGTTCACTCTTCGTATTGCGATCAACCACAGCTTTCGCATGTTAGGATCTGTAGGAATCCTAAAAATTCAGATATTTTCTCAAATTACTAATCAAGAATCAAAATTCTACCAGACAAAAATGAATTGGAGGATTCAACCAACCTATGAAACTTCATTTTTACATCTTTTCTGCGCCTATTACAACAGTTCACTGCACTGCACGATTCGACCATTTTAGAAACACAAATGACAAAACAAAAGCACTTGAAGTTTGTACGGTCCAAAAATAATGTTTACAACAATCACCTCAAACTTCGTTATTGCTTTAAAATAGCACCATTAACAAAAAACACCAAAAACTTATAGAAAACGCACACACATCCAACTGTTTGTTTACGTTTTTCTGCCCGGATTAGCTGTATCCTTCTCGGCTTCTCGCACAATTTCGTCGCTCATTCTAGCCGCAACGAATTCGCCGTGAGCCCCTTCCATCAGTGTTGCCAGTTCATTGATCATGTCCTTTAACATAACCTCACATTTGGACTTAACACCTCAGAGAATGAGGTTTTGTATAGAACCAGATGGTATCAAAAGCCAATGATACGTTGTAGTCCGTATAAGTGATGGACTTAGCACTATTCAAAAACGATTTCCTTGATAACTGATCGAGATAGGACTTAATACGCATCGGAATCAGAAAGAGCGGGAAAAAGTATAGGAGAATACACAATAACCTTAATTTACCCAAATTGTGGACTTAATACTGTCTGGCTCTGAGGTCCAGATATATGTGTTCCTAATTACTCTATTTGTTGTCTATAGACAAAATATTAGGCTAAATTGGTACTATTTCCATATCTGCGATCATCACCAACAATGTGCCGTTTCATGCAAGCAATCATCAGTGCAGTATAGGTTGTCTTGCGGATATAGACTGTCTTCGACAATACGGATATATCAGTGACAGCACACTAGATCGCTGCATTGCCCCCCAGGACTATAATGACTGATGATTGCTAACAAGCATGTAAGCACTGTATCTGGAAGGTTTATACAACCTTTGCGTAGCACTGCCCATAGCACGGTGGACACTTAGCATTCCCTCTGATTGATGGTGGACTACATCGTCCCATTATCAGAGCGAACCATGCTTCAGTTTTGCAGGAAGGCCTAGAGACATGGGCAACGTTAGGTCGGATGTGTCTTAAATTATCTTGAATTGCTCCAAACATTTCTCGCTTTTAATAAAATGTCAGTCGAAAAAGTGGAACGATAACAAGAAGCAGTAGAATTCATCAAACTTAATGTGATTGCAGCTTAGGACGACTTGAATGAAGATAAAATGTTCAATGATCACCTCTTCAACCGTTTCAGACTTTTTTGTAATATTTCATGTTTTTGAGTAATAGGTTCTTATTTGGCACTTTATATTTATTAAGGCTAAGGACAAGTCAAATCACTTGAAATTCCTCCAATTGTACGATTAAATATAAGCTATTTACATGATACAGCATCAGTTTAAACGTTAAAAATAAAATATGCACTATTATTAGGGGTTTAGCAAATTTCCCTGTTGTATGGGTTATGAAATTATAAAACTCGATATCCTCAGCTTGATAAGCAAGATAAAAGCAACATAACGTTTTTGCATGACTGTATAAAACGGATATCTAATATAAAATACTCCACTATGAAGCTATTTGACTTGCGACTTAAAAGAAAATCCTTTTTTGCATTAGTCGTAAAATGTCGGTTTGAAAATACCCTACTGGTATAACTACTTGTATTTGGTCAACAGCAAGGTTTGTTCACAGATGCGTTTACATTGAGTTAGATGTATTCGAATGTTTTCGCTAATAGGCATATTTAACAATTCTTTTAAAATTAAAATAACCATTTTATTTGTAATATAGTATTTATTAGTATAGTATTTATTAATGTCATGATAATATTTAAGATTCCTAAAATAATTTTATGAAGAAAACTATATGAACACAATCGTATGTGCAAAATTTGTAGTGTGTTAAGAAAATATCGTTCGCATTTTATATTTTTTAAAGTACTTTAAAAATATATATAAATCATTTCTATTAGAGGATCTGAAATGAAAGTATCTCGTACGGCACCCCCACCGCGACGCCATGGCGACATCACCAGCCAGTATGTGGAAGCTCCCTGACCTGGCGACTGGCGACCATTGGCATCTGATAATCCGTAGTGGCGACTTTGAGATACCAACATCACCAATGTGGCACGTTGCGTTGCTAGGCAATATCTGTTAATATACTGTTCAGTGCTTAAGAGTTTTTGACGCCCTAGGCTGCTCCCAGAGTAATTTTGCCATAGTGAATTTAACACATGGTGAAACGTGAATTACATTCAAGGACGGGTTTAGGAATCTGTCTAAGGGAGGTTATCAGCGAATAAAAGTTGAAGAGCGAGAGGGGAGGTCCAATCAATCTCTCTTGGGTCATGAATGATGACCAGAGATACGTTTTATAAGATTCAGCTTTGAGAAGCTTCTTTCTTTTGATGCTACAGTTATTGGTAGGAAATCTGCAAAGCCGCGCACAAATTAGGTATATTTTCTTCAAAGTCAACGGCGGTCCTTTGTGGTTGATTGGGTATAGTTTTTCTAGAAATATCTTGAAGCTCGCCATACAATTCAATAGTATCTTCACTACCTCGGGCCGATTGTCGGTGAACGCTTGTTCAAGATTTACACAGCAATCTAGAACCCATTGTGTTGGTTTCTCTTCTAATTCATCAGTCCATGTTGTACCATTTGAAGACACCAAATGAATGAATGAATTCCTTAGGATTATAAAATAAAAGTTCACCTTGATGTTTTGTTTTTTTTTTCATTTTCCTCACAAGGAAATTAAATACTTTAATTTTGAATCTTAATTAAAGTCTACAAGTATGTTTCTTTCTTCACATCATATATTCGTCCTACATTTTGCCTGCCCTACCTTTATACGCAAACGGGACCGCTCCGCCCTCCAGGATCTTTAGACTGAATACATGAGTGAAGAATTACACTACATACTTCATGTGTTGAGAGGAGAACATAGCTGTGTTCCACCTACTCGGCGACTGTGTATTCTAAATTCCGAGATATACGACCGATTCAATCAAGAGTTTTTTATACACATGCAGCAGCATAGGCAGAAACCTAAAAACGAGACGCCGTGACTGCAGCAAAATGCATAAAAACAGCTTGTTCGCATTTCAGAAAGATATTAGTCTAATCATATTAGACGAAAATACCCCTGGTTTGCGAAATAATTGTAAAGTCTGGTTTTATTGCTGCAAGTTGTTCAAGGGGGTATTCAAAACATGGACGCCTAAAATGGGTACACCAATTTTTGTGGGAAAACTTTTTATTCGACAACAAAGAATGAGAAAACGTGCATTTTAGCGATTCAATCGAAAGTGTTGGCAGGAACGAAAAAACTCTGCATGCAAGGTTTTTAGTTAAGGCCCACAAAATAAGACCACACGTAAAAAGATCCGACTAATAGCAAAAAAGTTATTGCCGAAAACCGAGGCAAACTGCAGGTTTTGGCACTTGGTAATGCGACGATATTTGAAATTCTCAAAATTCGTAGGATTCGTACTTCTAAATAACCACAACAAAATTGGAGTAGATTGGTGAAGTAGTTTTTGATAATTTCTAATCGTTTATCCCAAAACACCTGTTTTCCGGTCATCACTACTAGTTTATTAAGCAATATACAAGGTTAAATCAAAGAGCATTTTATAGCAAAATACACTAGTTTACCTTGCCGATATGAATCGCAAACCATTCCGGAAGCTGGGAAGATAAATGTTATTTGTATGCAAAACAGGATGGGTTACCTTTTTCTTCTAAACAAATTCAAACATTTCGTACTTGTGAGTTATTCGCGATGGTAGACATATCCGCTTTGTTTCGAAATGTGTATAGTGACGTGTGTTTTTCGAATATCATATTACTCACAGATACGAAATATTTGAATTTGTTTAGAAAAAAAACGGAGCCTTTTTTTTGCATAAAAATGACTAATCTTTCGGAATGGTTTGCGATTCATGTCGGCAAGGTAAACACGTGTATTTTGCTATTAAATGCTCTTTGATCGAACCCTGTATATTGCTCAATAAACTAGTAGTGATGGCCGAAAAAAAAACACAGGTGTTTTGGGATAAACGATTACAAATTCTCAAAAAACTACTTGACCAATATACTCCAATTTTGTTGTTGTTAATCAGAAGTATGAATCCTATGGATTTGAAGAATTTCAAGTAGTTGCGTTGCATTACCAAGTGTCAAAACCTGCATTTTGTCTTGTTTTTCGGCCATAACATTTTTGCTATAAGCCGGATCTTTTCACGTGTGGTCTCATTTTGTAGGTCTCATAAATACCTAAAAATCATATATGAAAAGTTTTTCCGTTCCTGTCAACACTTTCGATTGAATTCCAAAAAACACGTTTTCTCATTCTTTGTTGTCAAATAAAAAGTTTTCCCACAAAAATTGGTGTACCCATTTTATGTGTCCATGTTTTAAAAACCCTCTTGAACAACGCGCACCAGTAAATCCAAACTCAACAATTATTTCGGGGAAATTTGCTAATATGATTAGACTACCTGCCCAGACGCCCATGTCACTGAGACATCTATCAAGTGGGTCATCCATTTAAAAAAATGGTAATGTATATCTGTCGTTTTTCCTCTTAAAAAAACACTTATCTCTTATCGTAAACAAAGGGATGCGCCGAATGTTTCCTCTTTTTTATTTTTCTTTATTCTTTTTGGCCATCTCTTCCAATTCCATTACGAAACGATGAACATGAGGTCACCACAGTGTCACGTGACAAACGACGTTCGATTTCAGAAGTAACCTTGTTCTTCACCATAGGCGACAACGCCAGTCTTGCATATTGAAATATCGATTTTGGCATTCGTCGCCACGTCAGCAAGCTAGTGACGCCGCCATGGCGTCCCGGTCATGAAGGCTCACTACCAGAAAATGACAACTGAAGTTTATGGAAGACACCTCAACCTCCGGTTAACCGGACTAACTCTTACCTGTGAACCTGTACCTGTCACACTTGACTGAGAACCAGTTGGAGCATTGTAAATAAAAAACATATTTTAAGCTTTAGTTTATTTTTTAGAACTTACGAGGCACAGAAACCGATACTACATCTTATAAAGTTTACAAAACCAACCAGAGTTAAGATAAGTACAAAGTAACAAAATTACAGGATTATATGGCATGTATCATCTATTTAGGCTAAAAACTGTCAAACCACTTAAAACCCTTACACTGTACTATTAAGTATAAGCTATATACGCTGTACAGCTGACTATCGTTCTTATGCCATATTTATCCCCATAGGGCTATCAATCAGTTGAAATGCTAAAGATAAGATTTGCAACATTTTTGTGGTCGCTAAGTTTAGAGAATTGCCCTGTTATATATTTGCCGGCAAAAACACGCATGGAAGTTGATGTTTGTGTAAAACTATTTTATATATATTTGGTCAACAGCGAGGTTTGATCACAGGTACGGTTACATTGAATTGATGTATTAAAATACTTTCGCCATTTAAGCACATTTTGAAAATTCAATCAAAACATTAAAATAACCATTTTCTATGCAACATACATAAAATGTACTTGAAAGTTCTGTTGAAAAATATCCATCTGAACAAAACCTTCATTGTGACGTGTCTTCAGACTGGTAATGGGTCAATATTTAACTTCTCTAATTCAGCAACACTGTCAACGTCAATTGAGGCATTCATATTTATTGTACTTTTAGATAGGTTTAAGGTTTATTGAGTGACTAAGAAAAGAATTTTCTGCGTAGCAATGGTTACTTTTTGTGTATTCACGTTTTGTTCTACTTCCTCTCTAGTTTGTAATCAAAAACAATTGTCACTGAAACTTAAACTGTATTATGGCACGAAACCGACAATTTGTCTGGAGAAATGTGTTAAATGAAGAGAATATTCAAGTACACCATCGGTCTATCCAACTATGTGTTTTTCACTTTTTTTGTTTTTTTTGATTTTTCTCCATTTTTTTTATTTTTTGTTTTTATTATATCAAAAAGTATAAAATACTGTAAAATATGAACACAACAATTCTCTTTATCTCACGACATTCATCATAATATGCATTTCATATAAAAGACGTTTGTGCAACGGAAGACTGAACATGTTCATGCACAAACTTACATTCAGAATTGGTAAGACAAAAAAAAACAAAATAAAACATATCAACACGTTGAGCATATCGTTCCCCGGATTTTGTTTTGTGAATATCGGCAAAAACACTACACGACGGCGCTAGGAGGGAGGAATCAATCATCTATTCTGCGCCTCTTAATAGTCATGTTAATCTAGCAAAAAGTGAGTAAACTGAGTAATAACGAATACGTTCATATGGACATATTCCAGTTGAATTAGAATAGAAACAACAATTTTTGTATTGGTTTGAGACACTAATGAAAAAGCTGGCCCAGGCTGCCAGTTCTCCCGTTCACCACCGATTTATTGACTGGTGTATTACTTTTGAAGGAAATAACGGAAGTTCAACATGGATTTGGGTTTACATTATGAGGTGGAACAGGTGATATTATATGGACATAATCCAGTTGAATTAGAATAGAAACAACAATTTTTGTATTGGTTGAGACACTAATGAAAAAGCTGGCCCAGGCTGCCAGTTCTCCCGTTCACCACCGATTTATTGACTGGTGTATTACTTTGAAGGAAATAACGGAAGTTCAACATTGATGAATTATGAGGTGGAACAGGTGATTAGTAATTGGAGTAAGCTGTACTAAGGCCCACGAAGTGGACCTATCCATAATATGTTGTTAATATTTGTCAAATGTCCACCGAAATATTTTTAATGTTACAATGATATAATAAATGGTTACTAATGCAAATGCAAGTTTTCCATCTTTCACCTCCCTCCTGAAAGCATAAGCGCCGCTTTGACTAAAAAAAAATGATTAACCTTGTTTCTAAATACAAGGTCCACAACAAATCTCTTTTCGTGCAATTATCACTTTACATTCGTACTTAGGAAAGCATATGGCAAGATCACCAACATTTTACTACTTACATCCAATGAAGTACTTTGCTGAAGATCACCATCATTGGTTGGATTAAGATGACCAACCGTTTTGGCGTCCAAAAAATTATCCTAGACGAAATGAGATATCATGACCTCATCTATGAGAATTTGCTACAGCTATGATGAGAATGTTAGTTTCATATGACCATACAGTTGGCTTATACAGCGCCATATCTATTATTTCTAATTTGCGGAGAGAAGCATAGTTGTGATAAATTCTCATAGACGACGCCAGGATATCTCATTTAATCTCGCATAATTATTTGATAGCTATCTTCATGTAGAATTGCATCAATGCCTCAATAGGTACATCTTGGATATGGTTTGCCAAGTTACACTAACGATACAACTTTTTATAAACACGAAAAGATATTTGCTGCTGTATGTACATGTACACTTAAAATATCGAGAACATCAAACTGTTTCATAAGGATGGAAGGCTGATTCGAGACAGCAATCGAGAACAGTTTGCCTTAGATGTTTTACCAAGAACTCTCTATTTAAAATTATTATAACTAGAGAAATATAACAAAATTTCCATTATGCGATACAAAAACACACAAAGATTGAAAACACAACAATAAAAAATTACCTAACAGTACAAACAATTAAAAATATACACAAAATATACAGACAAAAAAAAGATGAGCATGAAGGTAACAGTTTCTACGTGGACTTTCCATGATATTGAAATATTCTCCCTAGTAAACAGTTCAAAAATATTGGACAAAAAACTAATAGGAACGGGTCAGTTATAATGTCCCGTCTAAAAATAAATCAAACGCTTTTAAAAACTACTCATACCCATATATATATATATATATATATATATATATCAAAACGGCTAACAGCATAGCAACTACTTAAACAATCCTGTATGCTATTTACAAATAATGTGCCGAAGATATGAATGACCAGTGTGGAGAAAATCCGAAACCATAATCGTGAATTAATGTACTGAATATATATATATATATATATATATATATATATATATGTATATATAAAGAGTAAATTATCATGCGGAGAAAGGTATATAACAAAAATAGGAAAATAATGGACAAAATCCGCAAAAAGTGGATTTGAGCAGAATAGGATAGGTAACCCGGAGCGATACGTATTTCTGCTGGTTGGCTTCATCAGGCCCGAAATGAATGCACATATGCAACTACAAAAGTAGAGACACATGCCCATACATCCGGATACGGGTGTAACCTGATGAAGCCAACCAGCAGAAATACGTATCGCTCGGGTTACCTATCCTATTCTGCTCAAATCCACTTTTTGCGGATTTTGCCCATTATTTTCCTATTTTTGTTATATATATATATATATTGTAATTTGGCAGATTCATTTCTCTCTAATCTACCCTTGAAAAGGAAATCTACCAACAGATTTTTCTAATTATCATTGTATCCATGTATTTACAGTTTCCCAATACTGGTCATTATTCTCTTAGACATACAATTTTCCTGCGAGATATGAAAATTGACCAGCCCTGTTTAAACTAACTTAAATATAGACATATACCTATATATATAAAAGATTAATTATCCCACTACCTAACAATTGAACACATGTTTTATAGATCACCTCATCATATCACGGTACTAGTTACAGAAAATAATACGATTACGTATTATCTCTTGTTTTTTGTTTTGTTTTGCCCAACATCTTAGAACTGCTCAATATCAATCGAATTATCCTAACTAACATCGTAAAATGCGTAAAGCGTATACATCCTTCTACACTCATTATTTACTCCGTGTTATGCAACTTAGGAATATACATATAATTCTTGCTTGAAATAATGACTAAAAATTGTTAATGTTTTCTTAAAAAAAGATACAGAGGCAACCTGAATTGTTTTTCAGAATCGACGATAACAACATAGTCCATGTCTAAACTGTCATAATTATTTATCCTTATAGCTACACTTTCACGTAATATAAGCGAGTACCAGAGGAAACAGGCACCAAAGATAAAAATGCATTTGTAAGTCTCATTACTCCAAAACATGTTAAAAAGTATTGCTGAAAAATGATTCAGGTTCCTTCGACAACCACCCTTAAAAAAAACTAATAATGTAGTGGATATACACACGGTACCTTACATAATATACATATAATATACCCTATATAATAATAAAAGCGTAAAATGCATGTTTTCTCAATCGCGTTACCCTAGAGTTTCTATAGGTTTTTCAGTTTTTATAAGATTTGGTATTTTATTTAATCGGCCGGTAAATGAAAAGATTACGAAACATTATTTGTAGTTAATTTGTCATTTTGCAAACTGAAGGTAAATATAAAGCAGATTGAGAGTGCTCACATGCTCTAGGTAGGTATCGAACTATCAGACACCTTCAAAAATATCAGCGATAATAAACACCCGTATAAATATTTTTGCAACTAATTTTGAATGAGGTTTCGTTCATAATGTATACTCGTATAAATTTACTTGTGCACAATTGAGCAGTCAACCAGCTCTCAATGTGTTGGCGCTGTAAGTAATATTACACTTATATTTTTTTCAAATGTCGGCAAACATGATTTGAATCAGATGCTAACTGGTTTTCCGTCTCCACTAGTAAAATAACAAAAACGTCATTATTGCGATTGTTATTACAATTCGCAAAATACTAAAACTTAGCTGGAATAGTCACCATTGTATCCTAACGTCATGTTAGGCGGTGCATACCTTGAGACATATATTTGTGAAAATGTGAATTGTTACCCTCAATTTTTCAGTCAGAAATATCACATAGGAAAAATCTGTAAAAAAATATAAAACCTTAAGAGACTAGATAATCCGAATATTGGTAAGTATTAAATCATCTCTCCTCAAATATGGTGAAATGACATCTTCGTATTTTTGCTTTCTGGAGAGAGAAAAAACGATATTCAATGAACCAAGTGCTATTCACAAACTTTTTAAAACATAAGTAGATTCGTTAAAAACCATTTACATTAAGAAAATTAAAAATAAAATGCTATATTTACATAATTAATAAAATAAACAAAAACGTATTATTGCTCCAATTCAAATACTTCACAATATTTCAGAGTAATTTTAAACTAAACTAAAACTGATCAAACGCCAAATAATGAAAAAAGCAACTGAAAATGGAGAACGTATCACAATTTATCACTGAAATTATAAAGTATTTGACCAACGTATATACCAAACTAAAACAAATTCTTAAAATATTTCACATGTGCCGTGAAAAAAGAAAAACAAGCACAAACAACCAAAACGTTATTCTTATATGCTACAACTCAACATCTTAATCACAGTTATTGTATTAACATATTTTATCAATAAATCCAATATATACAAGTTTTCCAAATATCAGAAAACTGAACACTGATCATAGAGCAGTCACCGGCATCCATATCATATTAAAGAACTACAACTGATTTGGACAGCAGCGGCAGCTATCAAACTAATTTGAAAATTTCTTACTTGATAAAGTTGCTGGTAGTGACTTGCCCTATGAATGTGTTAATTCTCCTAAATATTTATAGTTACAATTCACCGTTTTGCGGCTAAGCTTCTTCGTAGCTGTGAAACCCTATTACGCAGCCATTCCTGGTGTCTCTTCAAATCCTCCATGTGTTTCTGTTGGTTGACTGAAGTCCTAGTTAGGTGATCGCAGTATTGTGAAGCCTCTTTTAGGATCAAGACTTTGGCTGCTCTATCTTTCTTGCTGACCTCTGGTATCAGTTGTCTGTAACAAAATCCGAGGTGGTGATAACTGCAGTCTATACAAGGTTTTGAAAAATGCTGTGAAGCAAATTGCGGGCAAATACAACATGTAGAGAATATTTTAGAAGTTCTTATAAACATGGGTCCTGAATTACTGTGCTTTTATGATGGGTTGAGCGTTTAAGGCCTCAATCTTTTAGATTATTAAATGATGTTCCTTACTGGCATGCTAATATTCCAGGATATTCCTCAAATAATTTTATGAACAAAAGTCCATATCAACATATGTCTGCAATGGCTTAACGTTTTAGCTACAGGGTTTTAAATTTTCCAAAGTACTTTGATTAATCATATTTTTAATTGTGGCATATTATGAGAGGATGTAAAATGACATATTTTTAGCATACGAAGATATTCTATTGCACTACCAGTGGCGTCCCAGCAAACATGTCTCGCGATATTTTCTACAAACAACAAAAACAATAGTATGGCACTGATATTGTCACCGTGATTTTATTTTCTGCTTAGCTGGATTCTACAAAATACCTTTCACGTTTTTTTTTCGTCAGTTGCACCGTTTTTTTTTATTAAAACGACAAGATGGTAAGTAACTACTTCTTTTACCTCTGTCAACGAATATTTTTTAAAAAACAAATATCATGACATTTTTACAAACCTCTTTTGAAAAAAACTTGTCATGTAACTTTATATGATGAGCTTTCATACTCTAAATTGAAGGATTATTGATTATAGTGAAATGGTTTTGAATATTAGCACGTCATTACGGTATAAATGGGGAAACATGTCTTGATCATAGACTGTAAGTTTTTTATGTAACAAATGACGATGTTTTAAAAATATTGAGTATTCACCTGAGGTCCTCAAATGCGTTACGTAAATCTATCCTCCTTTGCCGTTCCATGTTGTTGTGTAAATTTCTCT